AAGGGGGGTCTCCTCCCCCCCTCGTCCATCCTGGTTCTGGGCCTGGCTGGCTTCTGCCTCCCGGCCTTTTCTCCTTTTTTTTTTGCCCGAGAGGCTGGAAAGTGAGGCTGATGGAGTCTGACGTCCAGCCAAGGTGTTTTCCGCTCGTTTGGATGTCTCGTGGCTCTGAAATAATCAAGGTGGAATATTTGATCGGGCTGGGAAATGAGGTGCTAAATTTGTTGTGAGATTGGTGTCAAAACCAATCGAGGCCTTTGCTCCTGCGGGAAAGACGGTTAAATGAGAACTGGTGAAGAGGGCTGCCCGGGGGCACCGTCTGGGCAGAGAGAGAGAGAGTGGCCGCAGATGCCCAGCTTGCCGAGAGAGGCTTTGGCGTGATCCCAGACGGTCGGAGCACCGAGACCCTGCCAGACCCTAGTGGGGGCCCTTACCCGAGCCAGGGAGTGCCGGGGAAATGCCAGGGCCCCTTTTCTCTTGAAAACTGCCCCCCCCCATTAATCCTGCCCTTGAAGAGAGATTAGACAACCCCTTTCAAGGTGGTGGTTTTTAGTTGAATGTCTGGAACAGTCCTTATGGTTTGTAAACTGTGATTTAGGGCTCCTCCTTCCATGTGAACGCCCACCAGCTTTTCTTCCTTCGCCAGCAGACCTGACAAAGGTGGGCATGCCAACCAGGTCAGCATTTGGGAAGATGAAGGGCTGGCAGGTGTCTGGGCTCCCCCTGGCTTGTCTTCTCTAACTTCATCAGGGTGGCTTGTAGGGGTCCCCAAACACGGGAGCCTCCCTTGAGCCTTGTGTGGCTAAAAGCAAGCAAGCAAGCTGAGGGGTGGGGGGAGGAGGCACCAGCTCTTGGGGGGGATCCCTTTGGGGCAGCTGCCCTTTCGGGAGGGGAGGGGAGAGGAGGGCCCTTCTGGGCGCAGGACCCAGAGAGAGGGGCACCTCTCTGGGCATCGCTTTCCTATTGCTCACACTGGCTCCGCTCTTTTTCTTGGAGGGGGCAGCCTTTCTTTGGGGGTGGGATTCTCCAGGGGTGGCTGCTGGCAGCCTTGAGGGCAGCCTGGAGCCAAGTTTGCAAACAAGGCAGGGAGCGTGCAGGGTCGGAGTAAGGGCACCCCTTGGAGACCCCCATACCCGTCTGCAGAGGGTGCCTGCCAGACGCCGCTTCCCTGGCACACGACGACGGGTAATGGCTCCGACGTGAACTTTGATGCTGCCAAATCTTGATGTCTGGCTGCTTCTGGAGGTTGCCGAGACAATCGCCGTCTTCTTTTTGCGGCTTTTGTGCCTGTCAAAACCCCCCTCCTCCCCTCCTCTCTTTCCTCTTTCCATTCCCCAGACCTAAATTTGTTCCCCGTCAGTTAGTTGGCAGATCTTTGTTCGTCTCATTTGCTGCTTTGAACGCCGAGTCGCCTGTCTTGTTCCCACTTTTTCAGGGCTGGAGAAATGCTTTTGGCGGAGTGAGTGGGCTGAAGGGGGGGGCAAGGAGCGATTTCCAGCCAGCCATCAAACATACAGCAGCACCCCTGGCAGGTTAGGGGGGGGCTTTGTAGCAGATGGGCAGCCCCTCGGTGCTGCTTAACCTGGGGGGCTGAAGGAGGCAAACTGGAGTTGGGGGGGGAGCAGTTTCTCCGGTCCCTGGATGGCTTTCCTCCCCTCCCAGATTCACGCGCACGGCCATCTCTTTTGTGCCCAAAGGAGGAGGGCATTTCGCAGGACCCTCCCCTCCCCTCTCCAAAATACCCAGGGCAGCCAACTGTTTTATTTCCATGTTCCTTGGAGGACACAGTGCGTAGGTTGCTTTTATGGAGGGAGAAAGTGAGTGGCTTGGGGAAAAGGCTTAAATTCAAAAGGGGGGGGGGAGAGGAAACACAGAGAAGAAAAGGCGATAAAAACCCAAAGTCTGAGCAGGGAGATTTAGTTCCTTCTGAAAGCTGTTGGTGGAAATGAAAAGCTTCCCTTTGGGCCCTGCTTTAATAGCGAGCGGAGCCGAGAAACTGGAGGCTTTAATCAGCCTTTCCGTTGATAAATTGAGGGATGGGCTTGAGGCAAGCCCCCCACCCCCTTGCTTGGCTCTAGTGCTGCCTTTAGTCTTCCTTAGCNCTGAGCAGGGAGATTTAGTTCCTTCTGAAAGCTGTTGGTGGAAATGAAAAGCTTCCCTTTGGGCCCTGCTTTAATAGCGAGCGGAGCCGAGAAACTGGAGGCTTTAATCAGCCTTTCCGTTGATAAATTGAGGGATGGGCTTGAGGCAAGCCCCCCACCCCCTTGCTTGGCTCTAGTGCTGCCTTTAGTCTTCCTTAGCTGGGAGCGGTTGTGGCCCTTCCCTTCCCCTCACCCCGTCTTGATCTGAGGGCCAGGAGGGCCCCAGAGGAAGGAAAGAAGGCATCCACCTGCCCCCCAGGTGTTCACCCCAACCGGATGGGGCATTCAACAGTTCGAAGCCCTGTGTGATCCATAGGATTGAAACTCCATTGTCATTCTTCGTCTTGCGAGAGGATGGGAGTTGTAGTCCATTAGCATCATTCTAGAGGTTCAGCTTCCAGCACCCGCTGCTGACCCACTTTCTGCAGCTCCATCCAGGACTTAGGATCCGCTGGGCATCCCCAAATCTTGGCTTCAGGCAGCCCGTGACGACATACATGCCCGTTTGGTCCTTTCCTGCATCTCAAGAAAAAGCCCCAAGAGACCCGTGTCGAGGCCCGGAGATGGCAGGGGCTCTTGGCAAGGCGGGTGCCTGACCCCGAAGGGCAGCTGGGACCAGGCACCATGGGTCATGCCTCTCCCCAGCACAGTTGGAGAAAGAGGCAGAACAAGACCGGCGTTTTAAGCAGTTGTGCTCTAGGGAAGGGAGCAAGATCTGTTTCGAACACGGCCTTCAGGGATTTGGACTGAATTGGCACAGGGGGGGGGGCATAATCCCTACCCCCTCTTTCTTTCTCCAAAGGGCCAGGGATTTCCATCCTCTCCTGGAAAGGGGGGTGGATCCGGGTCCCCTGAAGCGGCGTCAACGGAAGAGACCCAACTGGCTGGGCCAGAAGGCAACTCCAGAATGTGGCGGCCCTCACCCACTTGTTTGCTTTGCTCCTAACTCCGTGGAGATGGGTTTTCCCCAAAAATTTTATTCCCAGTTTCCAGATTGGGAGGAACGCTGCAGCCTCCAAGTCCAGTCCTGTGTCCCGCCAGGCAGGCAGCTGTTTCTCTTGCGCCCCACAGACCCTGCCACAGTTTGCCCCTGTTCTGGGGCCAAGTGCCGACATCCTGAGGGAGGCATCGCCACTCTGGGAGGAGAGAGGCTGTGAAGGAAGGGGGCTCTTGGCCCCGCAAATAGTTTCTCTCCGTACACAAATTATTTCTTGTGACGTGTGCTGGCAATTTTTTTTTTCTTCTTCCTGGCTCAACAATCAATAAGACTGCAGCGCTTTCTCTTATCTGGAGAGAAGTGACAGCAGCCNGACATCCTGAGGGAGGCATCGCCACTCTGGGAGGAGAGAGGCTGTGAAGGAAGGGGGCTCTTGGCCCCGCAAATAGTTTCTCTCCGTACACAAATTATTTCTTGTGACGTGTGCTGGCAATTTTTTTTTTCTTCTTCCTGGCTCAACAATCAATAAGACTGCAGCGCTTTCTCTTATCTGGAGAGAAGTGACAGCAGCCTTAAATGAAATCTCTGCAGTGCGTGCTTATCATGACTATCGCCTCCTCCGAGCCGCTCTGGCAGGCAATGAGGAAGCCGCTCTGCCTCAGTGGTGTGCACACCTGTGCTCAACGCCGTGCGGTTGTGGCGAGGGGGAGGCAGAGTCTTAGCCAGGATTCAGAAAAGAACGCCACCCTGCCATTTTTAAGCGTGTACATCGCAGCAGCCCTGCCGAGTAGACACCGTCGTTCCTGTTGTGTATGGTCGTTTATAAAAGTGTCGCTCGGTTTTTCTGAGTTGTTGCTGTTTTTAAAGACAGGATAACAAACAAGCACAGAGAGGCAGGGTCGAAAGTCCAGCCTTTGTCAAACTCTGCTCGGTGGGTTTAGCTACCCTCCTGAGGATGGAAAAGGGGGGTGCCCAAGGGACCCTCTGCTGGCGGGGGAGTTGGCTTGAGGGTCCCAAGGGACCCTCTCCTGGGTAGGGGGTTGCCTTGGGCCCTCTTCTAGGCTGCTCTGCCTGCACCTCTTCCAGGCTTTGGATGCCGAGACCAAAGGATGCTTTGCGTGTCGGCGGATGTTGCGGTCAAACTCTTTGGTGGTTTTGTTGGCACTGCTGAGTTGATTTGAAGCTGCGCCTGGAATTGGGGGCATTCAGTGGTGTATTTTGGGTGCCAGAAAGTGCCTCCCCCTTAATTGTGCCATGTTCTCCATGCTCTGGGGGCTCCAAGAGAAGCCTTTGGCTGGTTAATCCATTGACTTGGACCCCTCCCTGCTTATTTTTTTTAAGAAATCCAACTTGGAAGGAAACACCAATTATTTAGGTGACAGTTTTTTTTAACAAATTCATAATTATTTCAACAAATCCTTCAGAAAAGAAGAGTGTCCCCCAGATGGTGGATACAAATGGTAAAGAGGAGTTCCTGGGGGGGGGAGTTTGGGGGGAGAGGAGAGCAATCCTGCTTTGCGGGGGGGGCTCCTGGATCTCCCTGCTTCAGAGCTTCAGCTGGTGCCATGAAGCCCTGAGGGACGGAGACGTCTTTTCTGAACGAACGTCTGCCCGGCGTGCACCTGCGGTCCTGAAATCCACAGGGACTCACCTTGACTGTGGCTGTTTTGCTTGTTGCCATCCTCAGCCTCTCTCAGGTGGACTGCCACTGCTCATGGCAGTTCTGCAGATCCAATTCCCACGAATTGTTGCAGAAGAACTCAGCCTGCCCTGTTCTCCCCTCTTACCCCTCAGTCCTCCAGACCCGCTTCATCGAAGAACCGGAGGACCAGACGGTGGTGGCCGGGCAGAAGGGCGTGCTGTCCTGCGTGGTGCTGAACTACTCCGGGATCGTGCAGTGGACCAAAGATGGCCTGGCTCTGGGGATGGGACAAGGCCTCAAAGGTGGGATTATTCTCTGCCCCCGAGAGAGAGGGGGCTTCTTCTTCCCGGCATATCTTCTCTGGAAATGGTCCACCGCCCACCCTTGCCCACCCCCTGCCCGCCAACAGGGCATCATCTCTGAAAACTGCCAGCTGCACTCAGGGACAGTGCTGGGGGCGTCCTCCCCCCTCCCAGCATCAGCTGGCCTCCTTCCAAGGGGCTTCACTCACTTCTCCAGCACAGAGCACCGAGGACGGAGCCTCCCCCCCTCCCGATTCGTTTGCTGCCTCTTATTAATTAATGTGGCAGTTTTCCGTGATTTTTTATTCTGAGGACGTCTGCCTAGCCTGCTTTCATTCCTCACAAGTGATCATCCCCCGTTTGAGACACTCGAATTTTACAGCAAGGTGACCCAACTCAATGCAGGAGAAAAAGCTGCTTTGGGAACCAGTTGCGCTCCTTGCCCTGTGTTTCGTGGGGTGGGGTAATTTGCTGGGTGGGGCCATTGACCCCCCCCCAATCTCATGGCCACTGGGAATGGCACTACACTCCCCCCCACTTGATTGGGGAGGTCAAGCCTCTCCTTGCAGACCCCCTAAGGACGAAGTTTACCTTCTGCCATTGACTGATGAGGCCTGGGCTACGTTCAGTCCAAATCTTGCAGAGGGTGCAGGTGTGGATTTGCAGAGCCTCGCCAAGCCCAGGCAGGGCAGGCCAAGCGGGGGGAGGGTGATGCCAGCTGGGCACCCAGCCCCGCTCACCTGCCTCTCTCTCCTCAGCCTGGCCACGCTACCGGATCATCGGGGCGACGGATTCCGGCCAGTTCAATCTGGAGATCACCGACGCAGCTCTCTCCGACGATGCCTTATACGAATGCCAGGCCACAGAGGCTGCCCTGCGATCACGGCGTGCCAAGCTAACAGTCCTCAGTGAGTGGGGGAGGTCCCCTCTTGGAAAAACATGGCTGGAGCCCCAGAAACTTGGTACCCCCTCCCCTCCTGCTGCCTCCCTGTCCCACGTTCTCAAGTTGCGTCCCCCAGTCCTTTGTTAATCGCTATTCGTGGCCAGGGACATTCCCAGTGGCTCTGGGTGCTGACTGTTTTTTTTCCCCAGACACTTCTTTCTAAACAGAGTGAGGAATGGGGGTGCCTGTTATCTCCCCACTTTTCCCATTGGGGACTGGAGGATGTGCCCAAGTGTTGGGCCCCCAAACCAGCCGGGCTTCTATTCAGGATCCTGACCTGTGGCTGGCTCTGTCTGCTTCCCTTGTAGTTCCTCCTGAAGATCCGGTGATCGATGGGGCCCCCGAGATCTTGCTCCGCGCAGGCACACCACACAACCTCACCTGCCGGGCACAAAATGCCAAGCCCGCGGCCACAATCATCTGGTTCCGCGATGGGTTGCCACAGTCCGAAGCTGCTACTGCCACGGTACGCTGGGCGACGTCGGTGGGAGGGCTGCTCGGGGTCCGCAGGGTACCGTGAGGGAACCGACCCCCAGACACCACGAGAGGCCAAGATCTGCCATGGAAGCCATGCAGAATCCCAGCCTGCCCAACCCCACTGCCCCTTGGGCGTGTCAGACTGCAGCTCCCCTAATTCCCGGCATCTCTTGAGTGTTCAGAGGCGTTGCAGATTTCAGCCTTCTGTGCCTGGAGTGCCTTGTGCGAAGGGCAAATCCTGCTCAGCTGCACCTCCTCTTTCCTCCTGGGAGTGCTTCCCTCCTCCCTCCCCAATTCTTAAACTCTTAATTTCATTTCTCTCCACCAAGATCCAGAATAACCATCCCACTGGCAGCCTCCTCGCTCTGGCGAGGCTGTTTTTCGCTCATTAATCCCCAAGCAGTTTATGGTGCGTTGACATTAATTTGGGCAACCTCGTTGAGCATTTAATAGGCATGGCTGGAACGTTTTGGTTCCAGGCTAATTGGATTGGTGCAATTACCCCCAGATTCGGGGCAGGACACGTTGAGGGTTGCTGCCACCAGAGCAGGTTTCTCTGCTGGGAATCTTTCTAACAAAAGGCTGTGTTGCTGCTTCAGTTCTGGTACCCTGTGCAGAAGCCTCCCTTGGGGACACCAGAGAAGATTCTGGGGTCCTTTATATGGGGAGGGGAGGCATCTTATTCACTAGAGTACAATGCCCAGTCAACATCCTGAGTGCAGGGAGGGAAGCTGCGTATGGGTCAGCCATGCTATTCTAAGGAGAAGAGAGTTGCGGTCTCTGTTCTGACGACTCCCCAGCTCACCTTGGCCGTGTCCCCAGACTTTCAGCTTCTGTTGCCTATCCAGGAAGTCTTAATGGATGGAAAGAGAGAGACCACCATCAGCCAACTGCTCATCACGCCCACCGACCTGGACATCGGGCGAGTCTACGTGTGCCATTGCAGCAATGACGCCATCCCTGCGGGCAAGGAGGCCTCCATCAAGCTCAACGTTCACCGTAAGGAACAGCACTTTGGGTCATAGGGGGACCCCAATCTTTTTGTTCAGAAGGGGGGGGCACGGCTGATTTGCTGGCCATGGCTTAGGGTCTGGGAAAAATTGGAAGAGAAGAGATGGCAAAGTGTCTTTGCTGGAGCTGGTTAATATTTTGGTTTCTGAATTCGTCCTGGCTGGGACAATGACCAGCTGGTGTGTGACGGTTTAGTTGTTAGACCCCTTGGCAAAACTTGGCAAAAGAGGATGCCAACGGCATTGGCATGTAGGGTGCAGAGGAGGAGCTTGATGGGGGTCAAGAAATCTGGGGGTGCTGCTCCCAACTGGTGGTCAGATCAAAGAAAAGAAGTAGCCATCGGCTACATGGCTGTTAACCGTTCCTTCTGCATGGCAGATCCTCCAACAGTGACGCTGTCCATTCAGCCACAGACGGTGCAGGAAGGAGAAAGAGTCACCTTTACCTGCTTGGCCAACGCCAATCCAGAGATCAAAGGCTACAGGTGAGCTGGGCACTGACCAGATGGGAATGATGGACCTCTGGACCCTCACCTGCTCTTCCATGGAGGTTCCTCTGACTCCCCCAATGCTTGACCTGATGGGATAGCTCTTCTCCAATCTTGCCAGGTGGGCCAAAGGTGGAACGATTATTGAGGATGCCAAGGAGAGCAAATACGAGACGCAGGTGGATTACACCTTCTTCACAGAGCCTGTCTCTTGTGAAGTGCGCAACGACGTGGGCAGCACCAACGTCAGCACCCTGGTGGACGTCCATTGTGAGTGGGGGGGGACATAGCTGCCAAGGCTGAGACGGGAGAAGGAAAGTGCACGCCTCCTGCCTGCACTTTCAGCCCCAAAGCCTCTGATCGCCACCTGGGGCCCTGGTGTCCCCTTGGGCCCTTGAGGGAAGAGGGGTCACTTCCGTAGCATCTCTTACCCTGCTCTCCTCTGCCAGTCGCTCCTCGCATCGTGGTGGATCCAAAGCCCCTGACCACCGATATTGGCTCAGATGTCACCTTGACCTGTGTATGGACCGGGAATCCTCCACTGACCCTCACCTGGGCCAAGAAGGAATCCAACATGGTGTGTTCCCTCCTTGCCCTAGTGGACCAGTGTGTGTGGGGGGGGTGTGTGTGGCAGCAGCAATCTTTTCTTAGAAGCAGCTCCAGTTTAGGATGGGAAGTTGCACCCATATCTTGACTGGGTTTTCTCAGGAGGAAGGGAGGGAAAGTGCTGCTCCATGATGGACCTGCTCTCTCCCCCCCCCCCACCAAAGGCATCTTGCATCTTTTTTCACCCCCCAGATACTCGGCAACAGCAACCAGTTGTACCTAAAGTCTGTCACGCAGGAAGACGCGGGGCTGTACATCTGCAAGGCCATCGTGCCACGGATCGGGGTGGGCGAGCGCGAAGTGTCCCTCATTGTCAATGGTGAGTGAAAGCAGGGACACCCCTCCCCAACTGGGCACAGCTGCACCCCAGGGAAGAGGGGAGGCTGCTGACCACTTCAGCTGGCCCTCCTAGGGTTTTGTCTGTCTTGGTCTCCCAACACCTTTTCTGTCCTTTCTCCATGTTTTTTCCAGGTCCGCCGATCATCTCCAGCCATTCCATCCAGTACGCTGTGCGGGGTGACCGAGGAAAAGTGGAATGCTTCATTGGGAGCACGCCCCTCCCCGACCGAATCGTGAGTCCTGAGGGCACCGTTAAAAGATACTGGCTTGGAGCAGGATGTGTTTAGGGATCTGGAAGGAGACCCGCCTGGCTGGCGGATGGATGGATGGATGGATGTCAAGAGCTGTTTCCTCTTCTCCCTCGAAGGCCTGGGGCTGGAAGGAGAACATCTTGGAGAAGGGGACCTTGGAGCGCTACACCGTCGAGCGGAGCAACACGGGTGACGGGGTGCTGTCCACCCTCACCATCAACAATGTGATGGAGGTGGATTTCCAGACGCGCTACAACTGCACCGCCTGGAATGCCTTCGGTCCGCGGACAGCCATCATTCAGCTGGAGGAGAAAGGTGGGCCGTCAGAAGGGGGGGAGCTGGCAAGTGCCAGGAAGGCTCTCACTAGCTTTCATGTGCAGCGGACGCCCTTGTGCCCCAGGGAAGGCCAGGAGTGTGGGGTGGGGGGAAGTGGGGGTTGAGTGTGCAAATTCAGCCGTCCTCTGCCCATTCTAGTTCCAGGTAACCTCCTGCCCTTTGCTGGTGCTGCTGGGTTTGGAGGCTGCTGCCAATTCTGACAAGCCAGGAGGTTTCTCTTGGGTTTCTCTCTAATGGGGCTGGCGCTGCCTCTCTTTGCTTGCTGTTCCCCCCCCCCCCGGGCAAGGAGATGGCATGGCTTTGTCTCAGACGTAAAAGGGCAAAGTCAATGTGTAAAAGCTTAATTGATCCTTGGAAAAGAGCCGTGTTTTCCCATTGCTTCCCACTCCCCCTTTTGCAGAGGTTCTGCCAGTGGGCATAATTGCTGGTGCCACCATTGGAGCGGGTATTTTGCTCATCTTCTGCTTCATCGCGCTGGGCTGTTTCCTGTACCGACGTCGCAAAGGGAGTGAGTGTCTGGTGTGCGTGGGTTTAATCGGGGCGTAACCTGCTTTACAGAGGGCCAACTGGTATTTATTTCGCAGCGTACTGCTCCTAGCTGGGGAAGCTCCATTTACTTATTGGGCCGAAACTCGGCTCCTATGCCCCTTTGTTTCTTACATTGCTTTTTCAAGCCGAGCTCAGAGAGGACTAGCTGCTTCCTAAGCTCTTAAGTGGCCCTTTCCGGGGCACGTCAGATGGGACCTTGGATTTTTTTATTCCCCTAGGGAAATTGGTTGGGTTCTCTTCCGGTCCCCTGGCAGAAGAACTATACCTAGACCGTGCAGTGTTTCTCAACCTTGACAATTTTAAGGCATGTGGACTTCAACTCCCAGAATTCCACAGCCAGAATTGCTAGCTGTGGAATTCTGGGAGTTGAAGTCCACATGCCTTAAAATTGTCAAGGTTGAGAAACACTGATCCTAGAGGGAAGCGTAGCTTAGCGCTGGTGGCTCAACCCGAGAAATCCCTGGGGTTCTCCTTCTGCCAGGAATCAAAAATGCCCTGAGTTTTCTCTTCTCGCCCAGGCCGAAAAGACGTGACCCTGCGTAAGCTGGACATCAAGGTGGAGACGGTGAACCGGGAACCCCTGACGCTGCACACAGACCGCGAGGAGGACACGGCCAGCGTCTCCACCGCAACGCGGGTTATGAAGGCCATTTACTCGGTGAGGGGGGCCTCCACACCTGGCTCCTTCACCCCAAAAGCCTGAGGGGGGGACCTGCCCACTGCCACTCCTCATTCAACTCAACTCCTGGCTGGGTCAGAAGGCCTGCAAGTCATGTTTCGTCTTGGCCCTTTTTGACATGATGGCTCAGACTGAGGAGGCGGTGGGAGTGTTTGTGGCTGGGAATGTGTTCGTTGAGGGTTATGGGTGAGCGGTGGGAGGCGGTGGGAAGGGTCAGAGCTGGGAAACGCATCCGTCACACAGAGAGAGATCAAGGGAGCAAAGAGCCATGGTGAGCCTGGCAAGGGTGATGGCCTAAGACAGTGGTGGCAAACCTATGGCACGGGTGCCAGAGGCGGCACTCAGAGCCCTCTCTGTGGGCACGCGCACTGTCGCCCCAGTCCTCGGACTTCAGCTGGGTTTTATAAAACCTTTTCGCTTTAGGCCTCCGCCACCGTGTGCAAAAAAAAAAAAGGTTCAATCAATCAGTCAATTTCAACTTCTCACGGGAAAAAAAAAGATCTTGCAAAGTTGGAATTGATTGATTGAACTTTTTAGTCCCTCCCAGTCTGCCGTTACCACCGCAGCCACGCCCACCCAATGTGCCACACCACCCGGCACCTGACGATGCATAAGTGGGTTTTGGGTTGCAGTTTGGGCACTCGGTCTCTAAAAGGTTCGCCATCACTGGCCTAAGACAAATGCCCTGGGAAACTGCTGGACCGTAGGATTTCCTCAGGATGCCCACAAGAGAGGAATAGGGACAGAACTTTGGATGTTGCAAAGCACGACAACTAGGTATTGCCTGGCTGAAATTTGGGGTCTTTCCCTACCCCCCCCCCCATCTGCCTCCTACAGTCCTTCAAGGATGACGTGGACCTGAAGCAGGACTTGCGTTGTGACACGGTGGACACGCGGGAAGAATACGAGCTGAAGGTGAGAGGGAGGCTGCTGGCCCCAGCTGGAGACCCCTTAGCAGCCCCTGCCTCCTCTCTGTCTGGCTGGGGCCTGCCTGCCTGCCTTGCAGGGAGGGAGCTTGGTGCTCTGCCATGGGGCAGCCCAGGAGTGGGGGGCTGCAGTCCATTGCCTGAAAGAGTTTGGACCTTTCGTTTGGGCTCCCAGGGCCCTTGTTGCTGGGAAGCAGAGGAGTTCCACTGAAGGGGTCACCTCAGAGCCCCCTCCAGCCAGTGGCATTTACAGCAGCACCCAAATGCTTGAGGGGGGGCTCCCTCTGCCAGGCAGAGCTTTACTTCTGGAGGGCTTTTTCTTTCCACTTTTCATTCTTTGTGTCCGGCAGTGATTGTGAAGCTGCCATGTGAACAGCTGTTGTATTTCTCTCCCTGTTGGTCCTCCAGGATCCCACCAATGGCTACTATAATGTTCGTGCCCACGAGGACAGGCCGTCTTCCCGCACGGTGCTCTACACAGACTACCGCGCCCCTGGCCCGGCTCGCTACGATGGGCGGCCGTCGTCACGCCTCTCCCATTCCAGTGGCTACGCTCAACTCAGCAGCTATGGCCGCGGCCCTGCCTCTGACTACAGTGGAGACCCAGTCCCGGGGCCCACACCGGGCACGGCCGCTGCTGACACGGCCAGCCAGCTGTCGTACGAAAACTATGGGGGTCATTCGGGCTTCCCCCCAAGTGCCAGCTATGCCACCTACCGCCTAGGCTACAGCCAGCCTCCACCGCCCACCCTGGACCGGGCAGCCTATGACACATACGACCCCCTGGGAAAGTACACCGCATCGACCCGCTTTTCGTACACCTCCTCAGACTACGGGCAGCGTTTCCAGCAGCGCATGCAGACTCACGTCTGAAGTGGGTGTTGCATCCTGATGGGTGCAGGTACCTCATGACTGCCCCCTGATATTCAGGGGGCTCTTTCCCTCCCCCCCTCCCCAGCCTCTTTCCAGGCTGGACTTGTGGACAATGCAGAGCGTGGCACCTGCTGCCCAGTTGAGGATCACGCGGTGGCCGCCGGTCCAGCTGCTCTTCTGCAGTTTCTTCCTTGCTGCTTTAACTCTCTTGACGGTTCTTTTATGAGGGTCCAGATTCTCCAGACACCCCATCCTCAAGGGCTCCCCCTTTTCCTCTTTGTAAAAGACAGATAAGTGGGGGAGGGCAAGGGAGCCCCCACAGAGCAGTAATTATCTCCATCCTGCCTCAGTTGAAACTCATTTTCCATCTTACCCGCAGAAGAGGCATCCATTGGCAGCCCCAGGCAAAAGCAGCATTCATGCGATTAACAGGAGGCCAGCCCAATTCGGTACAGTGAGGCCTAGCGGTTGGAGGTAGCCACCAAATAGGGGGGGCATCCGTTGAGTTTCAGCCCTGGTTTTTTTTTGGGAGAAGCCAGGGTCAGGCCGGCCTTGGGTGCAACAGCTGTCTCCCTAAAGCCCCTCTTAAGAGAACTGGTTTGCACTTGGGGTGACGCTGTCTGGGAACGATCAAAACTGAAGTCTGCATCCCTTCCGGACCCCCGATGGAGCGAAGGTCTAGCCCACCTTGGCCACAGCTGTGCATTGTGCAAATTTTGGTACGAAATGGACTCCTTGGGGGTGATTCCTCCCCCCCTTTCTCTTTCAGGAAGGTGTCCATAAAACCCTGCACCCTGTGTGGGTCCTGGACAGGGCAGTTATGATGGGGGGAGGATGGGGCGGCTCTCAGGTGCCACCCACCCACCCACCCACCCACAAGAGCGAACCTGCCTGCCAGCCAGGAGGGCCTTTGCAAGATGTGGCACTGTGGGTCCCTCCCCCAAGCCTCCTGCCACGGTAGCCATCCTGGAGGAAGCCTCTTCTGCACCCTCCCCCCACCCTCTTGCTTGAACCCCCTCCTCGGGGGCAGCCTGGTTGCAGTCGCAGGAGGAGGAGGAGGAGGAGGAGGAGGAAGAGGAGATGACTCCTGCTGGAGTCTGGCCTTTGGGAGGGCAGTGCTGGGCACACACCCCATTCTCCCACATGGCCACATCCTGAGCAAGATCTCCTGCAGGAGGGCTCATGGCTTCTTTCCGTCTCCAGCCTGGACCCCCCCCCCAGCTGTTGCAGAGGGCTGGCGAAAGCGTGCTGTGGGTCATTGTGTGTCTGTGCAGACATTTCACCCCAACCCCCATTGTCCTGTCCTGTCCTTGCTAGCGGGGTGACTGCAAGCCCTTCCTTCTCCTGTGCCTTAAAACTCTTGCTCTGGTGCACCCACTAAGAAGGCAAAGCAAGTCGGGGGGGGGGGCTCCTTGGCACAGTTTATATCTCAGGTGTATAGTAGGACACATAACTGGGAATCCACCTTCTCCCCCCCCTCCCTCCCCAGTCCAAACCAGTGGTACCCACGTCCTTCGCATGCTGCCTCTTCTGGTACTCTGGAGCCCTCTGCACTTGGATGGGAACAGCTCTCTGAAGAAGTGCATTGAGACTGCGCCCTCCTCTGGCTGGTTCTGGGAAGTGTTGTCTCTTTCTGCAGCCCAATAATAATGGATGTTGGTGCTTATTTGGGGTCCCGCTTTATCAGTCCCCTGGACCCCCCCCCGGTGGAATGGGGTTGGAAAAATCCAGGAAAGGCCTCCATTGGATCTAAGGGCACTTTCCAAGGGGTGCTCCTTTCTAAGATGGTCAGGGTGGCCCCTTTAGAGGTGTACCTTCTGCTCGGTTCTCCGGGAACAAGAGAAGTGAGTTTGGTGGTTGAGGGTGCAAAATCTACCAGAACTGCTGCTCGTGTTGCCCTTCTCCCCTCTTTCCCGGAGAGGGTGAGGGAGCTGCAGATTGGTCTCAACGTTGCAAGTTGCAGGGAAGTTGCGGTATGCCAGAAGTTGGGCACCTGACCCACCCGCCCCCACCTCCCTTTTTCGCCAGAGGTGCCAGGAATGGAGCTCCGGCAGCATCTGCCCTCTGCTCACCAGGAAGCAGAGAAATGGGAGAGTTGAAGAGGGGGGGGGACAGGGCTCTGGGCCAAAAGCAACAAGATAAGTCCACCAATTCTAAGCCCGTGGCTGCATTCAGACAACCCGCCATGCGCAGAGCCTCATTCCCGAAGGAGCCCATTTCCAGAGTCAGTTTGAAAGGCCCAACCGCCTGGGTTCGTACAACTTGCTTGGCGGCAAGCAAACCAGCATTAACATTGGCCAAGCTTGCCATGTATGAAAATGCAACTGCTGGATCCTCAACAGTCGTGTGAACGCAGGCAGTCTCAGCCACCAATCAAAAGGAGACGCTGACTCCCTCCCTACTCTCTTCCACACATACACACCCCACTCCACCCTGCTTCATGGACATCCAGAATTTGAGCAATAACTAATTACAGCTCCAAAACGGGCGTTGAGATCAGAGCGCCTGGGCGCCGTCAGGTGACGGCGTGGGGGGGGAGAGGGCGCCCCCCGCGTGTGTTTTTTTTTTCTCCTTTCTTTCCCAGAGACATACATTCGTGATTGTCCGACAACTTCCTTCCCCCACCTCATTTTTTAAAGAAAAAAAAATGTTCCTTTTCTCATTCTTAAAAAAATATGTACTATATTTTTAGTCTCAAACACAATATATTATATATAAATATATATTTAATTTTTATATATATAAAGATAAATGATGAAAAAAAAATGGGACATGTCCTCCTCTCTCTTGGTGCGAACTTGGGAGGGGGCTTTGATCTGGATAGCATGGATTAACAAAACTTCCTTTGCAAAATGGTTCAAGGTGCTGCTTTGATTTTTTTCTCAAGCGCCCCCATTAAACCACCTTCACATTATCTTTGATTCCCTCTGCTTTTAGAAGGAGAGGGAGGTGACTCCAGCTCTCTCTTCATTTGGTGGGGGGGAGGCAAGAAGGGCCCCTGCGTGCCGCCCCCCCTTTTAAGGCTCAGGAACAGCAACTCCTTGGCAGGGGGTGGGGGCAATGCCAGCACCAGGCAAGGGGAGGCTTTGGGGATGGGGGTCTTGAAAATGTCTCCTGCATCTCTGCTGCGTCTCCTTCCACTCTGGACCAGCTGGCCGGAGCTGAGGAGCATGGAGAGGCCGAAGGGCCAAAATGGAAGAAACCAAACTGCCCTTTCGTCACCTTGCTGTTTTTCTGAGAAGGGGAGAGGGAAGAGAAGCCCACCAAACAGTGGTGCCACTGTGATTTATGGCTTCGCCAGGCTGATCATCAGCAATATTGTAGCTGCTGCAGGTTGGGTAGAGGCTAATCTTGCTCTGAAGTGCGACCACCGTCACTACTATTTCACATTAAACTAAAGGAAAGGTTATTTCGTCGATTTGTATGTGGACCCTCTGAGACCCCTCACCCCGGCGCGAACCGTGGCCCGAAGGAGATTCCGATTCGTCGGAAGAAACTACGACGTCGAGTTGTTTGTACCGTCGAAGGACCGTGGGCGGGCCGGAGTGGGTCGTGGCGCCCACACGCCTTGACCCAGCGCAGGCAGACACAGCCCTCGGCCCCTCTCCTGAAAATGGCTGCAGGACATTCCCTGTTGTTCAGTATTTTGACTTGTGATTTAACCTGCAGAATGTGGGTGAGGAGCCTAATCTGAATACTAAGGAAGTGGCCATTACTGTAGTTATAATAATAGTAATGATAAAGTTGGAAGGGACCTTGGAGGTCATCGAGTCCGACCCCCTGCTCAGGCAGGAAACCCTACACCATTTCGGACAAATGGCTGTCCAGTCTCTTCTTAAAAACTTCCAGTGTTGGAGCATTCACCGCTTCTGGAGGCAGGTTGTTCCACTGGTTAATTGTTCTCACAGTCAGGAAATTCCTCCTTAATTCCAGGTTGCTTCTCTCCTTGGTTGGTTTCCATCCGTTGCTTCTTGTCCTGCCTTCAGGTGCTTGGGAGAATAGCCTGACTCCCTCTTCTTTGGGGCAGCCCCTGAGATACTGGAACACTGCTATCATGTCTCCCTTCGTCCTTCTCTTCATTAGACTAGACATCCCCAATTCCAGCAGCCGTTCCTTATATGTTTTAGCCTCCAGCCCCCTGATCATCTTTGTTGCTCTTCTCTGCACTCTTTCCAGAGTCTCAATATCTTTTTTACATCATGGTGACCAAAACTGGATGCAGTATTCCAAGTGTGGCTTTACCAAGGCCTTGTAAAGTGGTATTGCTATTTTAATATAATGTAGAAGCCCCCCCTCATTCACAGCTGCCAGTTTGGGGGGCCCATCTGCAACCCCCCCGTCCTGCCCTTCTGGAGCTCGCCTTGAAATGCTTCTCGGATGCTATACATTTCTCTACCTCCGTAAAAGCGGAGACTTTTCTGGCATTCCCGGCTGGGACAAAGTGTGTGGCCGTGTTTAGAGGTGCCTGTCAACCATCCCTGCGGCTCTCTGATGTACGGTGTAATTTTTTTTCCCCTCTTTCCTTTTTATAGTTTCCTATTGTGAGCAAATGGGCACTTTTATTTGCTGAGCACGGCTTTTGCTGATCAGAACAATTTTTTTTTTTTAAAGCCAAAGGAATAGCCTTTTTCTCACAAACCTCAATGTCACCTATTTCTGGAGCGTGAAGCACCAGCGCTGAGGGATAGCAGTTTAATTAAATCACAGGGCAGCTCACATTGAGAGCTTGCCTGAACATCTAAGGCCATTAAATGCCTCTCCCCGCCCCCCCCCCCATGTTGCAAAGAAGATTATCAAATGAATGTTTTCTTTTCTGCAACATCCGTAGATTATCACTGCATAATTCTGAATCTGCATTAAGGCAACACCTTTATTAGCTCAAGCCAAGGATGTCGAATCTGTGCTGGCCTCGATGTCCGCCTCTGCCCGGGTGCCTGGGCTCCTCCATTGCCACCCGGATGGGGGCGAAGCAGTTCTGCAGACCGTCCGACGGGGCCAAGGACCCACACCAAGGGAGAATCCACTCTCTGGCTCTGCAGTAGTCCAGCCCTGAGCCATTCAACGCCTTGAATTCTTTCTTTCCCGTTTTTCCTCGTTTTCAGTTTTATTTGCCTGGTTTCTGCTACGTAGTTTGGTGACAAGAGTTTAAATGAAGTGAAACCGTCCTGGTAGTAACTGCAACGATGACTTTTTGTCACCGCGTTTGACCTTGTTGTCGTGTGTGCTGCAATAGTTTAAACACTGAATTAGTTGACCGTCAAAAGGTGCCTTCAGCACCTCTTCCCTTACTTCCCGCAAGAGGGCCCAGGGACTGTCTGTGGTTGTCGGAAAGCAGGTAGAGTGGGGGGGGGGCTCAAGGACGGCGTAAGATGACGGATCCTGGCCACCTTCCTTTCTAAAGGAGATGCAGATTTTGCATGCAGCAGCCAGTCTCCAGCACTGCAGACGAGAAGGAGCCCCTTTGCTCCTGGAGGAGATTTGGGCTGGGGGTGAAAGAAGCGCTTCTGGGCGTTGGGGGGATGGTTGAAGGCTGCCCCCTCTTTGGGGAGTGGGAGGGAGACCTCTGCATCTTTGCGGAGTCCTTGCCCCAAATCGCTACCAAACGAATTTAATTTCTGTTGGTTCGAGCCTGACTTAGTGTGGCCTCTTATTTATTTAGGACTCTTAGAGGACACATTTTTCATCCTTATTTAATTATCCCCTCTCTCTCTGAGGATTTCAATTGTGCAGAAACAGAGGCTGCTTTTAATTAAGCAGGTGGATCCCGGAGCCTCGCAGAGCTGGTGCTAAAGAGGGCATGGCGGGGCCAGAGGAGGGCGGGAGAGGCGGAGCGCAGGCAGGCAGAAGCCGGGCCGGAGACCCTCTGCTCAGAGGCCTGGGGAGGGGTGATTGCCATCTCCTGCTTTGGGCTGGCCGTGGCAGGCCCCCCCCCAGCTCCATCATCTGCCGCGGGATCCATTGTGTGGTTCCAGAGGAGGCTAAGCAGGAAGGAGCAGCATTCGTGGCACCCGTGGGCCACTCTGTTGGCTTGTGTCCTGCTAGCATGGAGAGCCCCTTTGCAGAAAATGCCACTCCAGGGCTCGGAACGTGGTTCCCTGGCTAGAGGCAGGGGAATCACCCAGGCAGGCCTGCTGCCCTGTGGCGAGGGGTGCTAGGAAAGACATCCTGGCGTGAATCCATTTCTGTTCCTGGAACGGAGATTTGGGGAGAAGAAGGGGACACAAACCCCCTCCCCGGTTGCTTTCCCCCTTTCACCAATCTCCCCCTTTTTTTCCTGCAGGCATCTCTCTTCCTTTTTTTT